CAGGAATGTATTTCTAACAGAATTGAGGATGCTTTATGAGTCTATTGAAGCTTGAAATTTGAGAGGTGTTTTTTGGTGGCAGAAAGAATTCTGCGACTATGCAGGTCAAAGGTGACCACCAGCCCCTTATTCCTGCAATATGAGAGTTGAGTAAATAAAGCTTTCAAGAAGAGGGCTTGGGAGGCGGGCTTGGGGGGGGAGTGTGTTATCTTCTAAGCTATGAGGGATGGTCTGGCTACGAAGGACAATACAGAAGTAAACAAAGGTGTAAGACTGCAGGACCTATGACAAATATGACCAAACGAAATAGAAAAACCTATTAAGTGTGTTAAATGTTTCTCTTGTAGGATATGCCCAAACCCTCCGAAGAGAAGATGAAATTGATTCTCAGTCAGAGTGCTTGGACTTCTCAATCCAGTTCTTTGCCATCTTGTTCATCTAGACTTTCTGGAAAATCTGAAACTGGGAAGACAGGTCTAATTAATCTAGGAAATACTTGCTACATGAACAGTGTTATTCAAGCACTTTTCATGGCTACAGAGTAAGTTCTTTTTAATAGCTCCTTTCATTGCAAATTAGCTATTGCAGTTGTCGCATTCTTACTTTACACAGGATATGTCCTGGAGTCTCTAAGCTTGCTAAAGCTGAGTGGGTTTTTTTGCACTGTTACTGATTGCATTGTTGAAGCCCAGTTCTGTGAAACTGCAGTTTTACTCATGAAAAATCCTGAACTTTCTGTACAGTGTCAAGAGATAAGGACCTTTTTCCTCACTGTCCTTGTTCCCTTCAGAATTGTAAAAGTTTATGGTGTTGCTTTTGTTACAGTCTGGAAGATACTGAGAAAAATTGTGTGTAGCCAATTCTTACATGTGTAAATATTTGAAGAAATAGGTTTTTTGCAGTCTTAATTCATACGGTACAGTAGATTTGTATCTGCACTAGAGCAGAATCCTGGTATTGAAGGGAAGTGTTAGACAGTTTGTTTCCTTTCAAATTGAAGTAATTATCTGAACTGGAACATTAACTGCATTGTTGATAGAAATCTGGTAAGGAATCTAATGTCTATCTTTTTTTTTTCCTTTTCAGTTTCAGAAGACATGTTTTATCTCTGAATTTAAATGGATGTAATTCACTAATGAGAAAATTACAGCATCTTTTTGCTTTTTTGGCCCATACCCAGGTATATCAGTTAATGTCATCTGCTGTTTTTTAGGGTCTATATACTAAACTTTAGAAACATGGTGCCATGGGAGTACTCCTGAGTACATTAAATATGTAAATATGATATATGTGTAGGGGGATGAGTCTGCCTCCAAATGTTCAGATGCTGTGGATGGACTTAGAGAAATTTGTACTTTATAAGTGGAACCTCTTGGCATTGTGTTGTTTTTATAAGTGGGCAGTATCAGGTTTTCTTTGAGAAGCCAAATTGAAAAAATCCAAGTAAGATCTGATTTCATACATAAACTGATTTTATCTAACTCTTTAGGATAAACAACTACTTTCTGCGGTGATTTTTACATTAAATTTTATTGTCATTCCAGTTCTAAATTGAACTTAGATGTTCAGAATATTTGGTAGTGCTAGAAAGACATAAGACACTTTTGTGGTCTTTGATTAATAACAATAAGCTTGTTGTGAAGAGGATGAGGCTGAATCCACCTTAAAAATAAATCTGTACTTAGGAAATAGTGTTTTTTATGAATAAATGAAACTTTTTTTTAAAACTTGCCAGCAAGAACAGTAACTTCTGTTACACTTAACATTTGGTTTAGACTCACTACATATTTCATATTTGCCTGCAGGATCCATTACTTTTATCTTTGTACTAGAGATGATGACTACAAAATTAATGACTCCCTCTTCCTATGATTAAGTGGTTTAAAGGTTTGTGTACCATGTGATTCAGACAGTTCCTCTAGAAAAATATAGTCCAAAGTTCAGTGGTGCATATCAATATAACCAATTTTTTAAGTAGTTCTTATGTAACCTTGTCTGTCTGTCTCTTACACAAACAGAGGGAGGCATATGCTCCTAGAATTTTCTTTGAGGCTTCCAGACCACCATGGTTCACCCCTCGATCCCAGCAGGATTGCTCAGAATATCTCAGATTCCTGCTAGACAGGTACAGTACTGTGCTGTTAATGGGAATTAATTTAGTGGTTTACTGCATAATGTTGAACTCTTAGAAGCAGTCATGTAAGAGCTCCACTGCATGAGTGGGGACCAGGAATTTTGGTCCTCGTTCCTGGCTGTCTCTGGTTTTCTGTAGGGTCTATGAAACTCATTTATCCACAAGTTTAATCTGTGATAAAGGCTAGATACCACCTTGTATCCACATAATTTAAAGCAGGTTATAGTGTTGGTAATGTTCCATTCTTATATATCTAAATTTTGGTGTTGTGTTAGAGTCATGGTCCTATTGTAAAACTAATGTGGTTGCTGAAAGCAGTTCAGTTGTGCACCTGGAAATTTGTGTTGATGGAGACAGCTGTATTTCATATAGGTTAGATAAGTCATAAAGAGATGTACAGTTCAGTTGTGCACCTGGAATTTGTGTTGATGGAGACAGCTGTATTTCATATAGGTTAGATAAGTTATAAAGAGATGTACATGCGTTTATAACCTCTCTAATAATCAAATTAACTGTGGCACAGATCAAACAAAAATACTGGAATTTATTAGTAGCCTTATTTAATTTTGGCTTGCTGAGACGTGGCCTGGGCACTTGACTGCTTTGTAATCCATTCTACTCCTGGAGAGGTTTATCTCAATAGCGAAATAGTTGCTTGTGGTGTTTTCTTTTTGTTTTCCCTCTCTTTGGTTTCATTTTTGGTTTGTTTTTCTTGCTGTAGTTCCCTAATTTTCTTGGCTACAAAATCTTGACCTTTTCTTTGGAAATAGTTTGGCACTAGGTAAATAGCTACTTGTTCGCTAATAAAATCTGACATACAGAACGAGTCTACTGGGGAACTGAATGATTAATATAATGGTAAATAATAAAAGTGTTGTTTGCTAGGTTTTTTTAATACTTCCTAGTTTTCTCAGTATATCTGTTGTGTTCTGTTATATGTAACAAAACCTACGTGAAATGCATTTGTGCTTTTCTCATACTCTTCTCTTGGATAGTACTGACCTGTGTGGTTCAGCTTGCTTATACAAAAAATAACATAGTTGTTTTTTTTTAATGCAAGAGACTTCTAGCCACCTACCCATCTATACTTTTTAGCATAACGG